CCCCCCCCCCCCCCCCCCCCTATTCCCTGCGCTACACACGGAGCTGACGCTGACGGTGTACGTGTAGCGCACCATGGTTGATTGATCTGTGTCGGCGTGTGCGCTCTACGACAGCCTTCCCCGATACCGTACCGGCGCACGCACAGACAGCACCCGGCCTTAGCAGACTTAGTCGTCAACAAATTGAGCTTGAGCGCCATTTTTGTGAGCTCGGTAAGCAACCCCCACACTAATCCTATACATTGGCCATTTCCAGAATAACCTAAGGAAAAAGAAGGACCCCAGCCTCGGTCAAAACGAAATACAGTGGCGGCTACGGTGTAAGAGAACATTCAAGAGAAAGTGCCGATTGAAGAGAGTCAGACTGGCTTTTCATGGTCACAGCAGTGGTCTACGGTTTAAAGAGACAAGTACTGGCGTGTCCCGACCCTCTCATACCCCGTAGCCGCCACTGCAGAGGTTCTCAACAGTGCGGGCGCCAACCGAAAACCACAGGCTCGGCCAAAATTAGGGGTTCTCAAGCGCCGGCGCTCTCTGAACTCGGTCTGCCTGTCGCTTCGATAAAGCACAACGCTTCAAATCATGTCCGTCACTTGCAGACCGCGTCTCCCACGGTTAGACCGCGGGTGAGCTAGCAAGGCCGCCACCAAGCCTGCAGAACATGTTTCCGTGATATTTTCGCCGCGCTGCGACTGGCCGTATTTTTCACTGGCCGGCCGTGGCTAGCTCGGTCATTATCCTAATGAATGGAACACGCACACACATATCACACACACATAACCCCACGCGGGAGCTCTCCCCACTCTGCTAATGAACAAAACGCACGTACACACACGTGCCCCGGACCACGGCCTTTATATGTTGAAGAAAAATTATGTTTTCAACCGCACGAGACTGACGCCTTGTCACTGGTCAGCCGCTCAGCCGCTCGATGCAAAAAATTAAGACACCCACGGGTCCTCCCGCCCCCCCCACCTCTTCTCACCTCAAGAGCTCGTATCGCGGCACCCCTGGGCAAAGAAGCCTCTCTCTGGTCGGAGCCTTCCGCCATCTCGGCGACGGTTTCAGCCGAGCCGTCCGGGAGGAAGGCGGGGTGCCACCCGCTGCTGGCGCTGGCATCGCCTCCTTCAAAACTGGAAACCCCTCTCGGCGTCACAATCTTCCCCGCAACCTTTGCCTCGAATATCTGTTTTGGGCGTTGGTCGTGTGCACAGCGCGGCAGGTCAAAACCACAATCAGCGAGGCGCCATTTGTACCATCAGGCCGTTTGAAGCCGCCATGCAAGCAGAGGCGCTCAAGACCAGCATCTAGAGTTGAGACTTGCAAACAAAACAACAGCAAGATAAAAAACAAAAAATATACACACATCACTATTCGTTCTGATCAAACCAAACAGAAAAAAAGGTGGTCGTCAAGAAAAAAACAAACAAACAAAAAAATGCTTTGGGGGTGGTACGCAGCACAGGGAAAAAAACAAACAAACCTTTGGAGTCGCGCCAGGTCCCGCCGAGAACGCCACCCGGTGTTCCGCGACAGCCGTCTTGTCCTCGAACCCCTCCAAGAGGCTCGGCAGGCCCTCCGCCCCGAGCTTGCCTACGAAGGTTGCGATGTAGGGGCCCGGTAGAGACGCCAGGGCGTTGAACGCCAGGGAGGAGCTCTCCACGATGACGGCACCCTTCGTCTNGGGGGGGGGGGGGATGAGTGCTGGTGCCGGGCTCTCGACAACAACCGCGCCGTCCTTCACTTGAAGACGTTGTTCGAAGTGTGAGGGGAGGAGGGGGGGACGTACTCATATTTTGCACGCCTTAGCGGTTAGACCATTGACCACCCGTCCTCCTCGAGAGGACGGAGCATTGTTGTTCCCAGAGGACCGATCACTGATGGTTAGTCGTTCCTTCCTACTTTGCCAAAGGTGGCTGAAAATGTTTTTCTTTCCATATCTGCTCCAAGCGTGTGTGTGCGGGATTGAACCCGAGGGCGGAGCTACTTGGACATGATCTTGCTCTCTGGATTCATATCTACACGTACAGACACCATCGCCCGATGCTCCTGGGCGATCAGCGCAGAGCGGGTAGTGGCGAGGCCGGGGTTTATCGTCGTCCAGCAGTCACCACAAAACCATTGGTTCAAGGCATGTGCACGGCGAGCCCTTGGTAGCGACGAACCACGGCAATATCGCGGCCGGCTTTGCAAGGTGGATTCCGCATGAATGAAAACGACGGGAGCCCTCATCACTTCGTCCTGCAGCGACAACATAATCAACATCAACAACGATAACAACGACCACCACGTCGAAGACGACGACAACAGCAACAACAGCAACAGCAACAGCAGCAACAACAACAACAACAACAACAACAACAACAACAACAACAACAACAACAACAACAACAACATCAGCGCACCTTTTTTGTCGCGGTGTTGCACTTCTCCACGAGAGCCTCCGTGGCGTCACCCTGCAGGTCCGCCAGCGCCACCGCCGACACACCAATCCTCAAGGACGACGCCAGCCGCGACGCCATCTCCGTTACGCGCTGCAAAACAAAACCCACAGCCAGGTAGGTAATGCAAACGAAAAAAAAAGTTAAAAACAGATTCTGTGGCACAGCAGCGGTCGGTGCTGGGTGTAACGACTTGATGGAGGGTTTGACAAGCCGAAAAAAAAAACTATTTCACCTTACGGTCTTCTCTTAGTTAAGCCGAACTATGGTTTCCTTCGAGAGTGTTGCCTAAGGAGCGGCACGAAGGGTCGGTGCCTTGATGCCGTTGTCGTTGTGGTGGTTGTTGTTGAAGCTCTTCGT